GCAAACCATCCAGAACTCTGCAGCTCATATCCTCTCCCACACTAGGGCTCCATGACCCCATCACCCCCACCGGCTCCAATGACTCCCCATTCCCCAGAGGATAGAGTTCAAAATCCTCGACCCCACATTCAAGACCCTCCATGGCATTGCCCTCGCTACCTCTGCGACCTGCTGACCCCATATCAACTTGTCCGCTCCCTCCACTCAGCAGGCTCTGGCCTGCTCCATATCCCCTGCCTGGCCTGTCCCACCATCAGTAGTCAGGCCTTTAGCCTTTCTGCCCCCACCCTATAGAACTCCATCTTACATTCCCTTTGCCTCATTCCCTCCCTTGCCTCCTTCAAGGCGCATCTCAATACCTTCCTCTTCGACTGAGCCTTCAGTCACTTTCCTACCCTCCCAGCCCTCCACCCTCCCTAATCCAGACCCCCAGCTCGGGTCCAAATCCCTGACTGTCCAGCGCCTTGGGCCATCTTCCCGATGTGAAAGGCTATACAAATGTAAAATGTAAAATGTAAAAAACATCTTCCAAGCACTGCATTATAATAATAATAATCCTTGCATTTGATATAGCGCTTTTCACGTCGGGAGGACGTCCCAAAGCGCTTCACAGAACACACTGTAAAGTGAATTGACTGTATATTTGTGGGCGAACTTGTAGGTCATCTTTCAAGACATGAGCTCTCATCTCAAAATGGCCTAAAGTTTGGTTGATAAATGATTCCTGTAACATGCATGTTTTACAGCTACGTTCTACATTTACATCTGGCGGCTGAAGCAATGAGTCATCAATGATATGATTTGATTCTGCTCTGCATCACCAATGCAGAAAGGCAAAAGAAAATCATTTTAGGCCTTACCTCGTCATGCATGGATACTCTGCTTTGCTTAAAGTTAGAAGCTTTCATCCCACAATCAGCACAAGCTGGTCTACAAACTTTGCACAATTTCACCTTGAAAATTATGAAGTCTGTTCTGTGATAGAGAGAGAAATTGTTCAGCAGAGAGACAGAAAAAATAATTTAATGTTTGGGCAATCCTTTACATCAGAACTGCTCTGTGATGTTCTATGTGCCATTCACACACTTATTTAAACTTTTGTCAACAGTAATTTTGGGGGGGGGTGGGGGTGAAACAGTCAAACTAAATTTTCCTCCAAGCTCACTATCGTCAGTGAAAATTGTTCCTGACATTAATTGTCTTAACTGGTTATGTGAACAAATTATTAATTCAATGGATCTGTTGAGTAAGTTGTCTGACCACAAATTATCAGTTGTCTTGAGGGCATCTGAAATGTGGGTGTTGGGACAGGATGAATGTGTTTGAACAAGATCCTTGGAGATTTGTTGAAATGGCTTCAGGTGATTGTATTAGATGAGACAACATGCATACGTGGAGAAAACATGTTAAATTGAGACTCTTGTACTGGAGTAGAGGTGTTAGAACGGGGACATGATAGAGGTCCTCAAAATTCTGAAGGAGCACAAAAATGTGAATTGAGAAAACTATTTCTTTTAGTTGGGGAATTAGTTGGGTTTTAGTGACCGGAGGGTATAATCTCAGCATTGTTATCAGACGAACTGCAGAGCAGTTAGCAGGAATTTCTTGACTCAAAGAGTTAGAAAGTTGTTAGGGTGTGGATTTCATTACCACAAGTGGACATTAAGGTTGATTAAATAGAATCATTCAAAAAGAACATGGCTAAGCTCCAGGGAAATAAAAACATTGAAGGAATAAGGGAAAATACAAAAAGTGGTAAAAGATCAATTCAAAAACTAGGTAGTCATGACACAGGCCAAGCAAAGCAGCAATCATTCACCCTGTTGACTAGATCAAGATCCAGGAGCCATAAGGACAATACAACAAGGACTGTGGAGTCCTGTAGCTCAGTGGTTAGAGCACTCGCTTTGCAAGTGAGAGACCTGAGTTCATTTCCAGGCAGAGGGCGAAACCTTGGGCACGTTTCCTTACTCCACATACCTAATAATAATCCCTCCAAAACCAAAAACAATTATAAATTGGTCATTTTCAATCTACGACTGTTTGTGGGACATTGCTGTGCGCAATTGGCTGCCGCGTTCGCCCACAAATATACAGTCAATTCACTTTACAGTGTGTTCTGTGAAGCGCTTTGGGACGTCCTCCTGATGTGAAAAGCGCTATATCAAATGCAAGGATTATTATTATTATTATTATTAATAATCCTTGAATGCATAACAACAATTTGCATTGCTATAGCGCCCTTCACACGGCGTAGCGTCCCAGAGCACTTTTTACTGATGGAGTCTGACCCCAAGCCAGAGGGAGAGGGAGGGGAGTGGTGACCGTAAGCACAATCAGAAAGGAAGGTCTTTAGGTGGGATTTGAAAGTGAGGAGGGAGGGGGCAAGGCGAAGGGATTGAGGGAGGGAGTTCCAGAGCTTCGGTGGGAGTCAGTAGCTGAAAACACAGCCACCGATGGTGGAGCGGATGGGGTGAGGGACGAACAGGAGGCCGGAGCCAGCTGAGCAGAGGCAGCGAGTGGTGAAGTGAGGGGTAAGCAAATCAGATAGATAGGGAGGTGCGAGGACATGAAGGGATTTGAAAACGACATGTACAGCCTTATAATGTCAAAATGTCTTAAAGTGCTTCACAGGCAATTGTTGTGAAATGCAGTGACTGTTTATTTGTTGTCAGTAGTAGGAGTCAACTTGCACCAGGCAATATTCCAAAATAGCCATGAAGTGAATGAACAACTCCTTTTGGGACTTGTCAGCCAGGATACTGTGAGAAACTCCCTTTTTTAAAAAAATACGGTAATGCCATGGGATCTTTAACATCCACCCAACAGAATCTTGGTTTAACATCTCATCCAAAAGACGAATGCTACAATTGAGCTTTCACTATCACCAGAACGACAAGCAGCTTCTGATGGAAACAAGCAACAGTTTTATTCAGTTTATTCCAGAATCTTTGGAGACAGTATTGGCAATTTGTCTGACCACAGTTACGTGAACAGGGCAAATCTAAGTGTACAGGATGAAACATGCTTTCATGTGTCCAAATCTCTTTGAAAAAATAAAGCTTAACCATATTTTCTCTGAAGTGCATGTTTGGATGACTCATTCACACCTATAGTTGTCTCAAACAGTTTTTGTTGTGGCTCCTCCAATGGCCCAGTGGATAAAGGCATCCCCCAGTGAGCATTAGACCATATAATTTCAGGTTCAAATCTTTGCTGAGTTGGCTAATCTTAGCTGAGCACCAGTAAGGGTGATACGATTGGCCTTGGTGCCCTGGGTTAGGGAGGACAGCAGCAAAGTTTCCATTCTTTATTGATATCCAGATAGACCTGTTGGAGATTTGTGTGGACATTGGGTGAAGATTGGCTATGCCACCCACCCCTGCAGTTGAATAGCTCAGTATAAAGGCTCACACATTAATATTGACTGCTAGGGTGAGGTACTGGCTAGAACATTTAGATTCAGGAAGAGAACATTGAAGGAGAAAAATAACTTTATATTCTTGTGTTCAATTCTCAATAACAATCCATGAGATGTGGTAAAGCTAATAATTAAGAATTCATGAGTAGAAATGCAGCCATTGTACAATGACAATGTTTAGCACCCCACCCCCAGAAAAATATAGGTGTAACAGTACATAAAGGAAGAGTTATCTGACTGAGCCCATGTGGCAGCACAGCTTGCCAACGACACATGCAAGTCACTGGAGAGGATCTGGACTAGAGTTCATGGCTACATTTCACCCACTGAGTTCCCAATCTCAGCTGCTTCTTTGTGGAGAAGCACAGAATGGAGATCGGAAGATAAATCAAGGTGAAGCCGTAAAGAAGGCACCGAAGAGACCAGCAAATCTCCAGTTCCCACAGAGGCTCAACACAGTTCAGTTACAGTTACAGGACACTGAGTTCCCAACCAGAGTGTGTGTTTGAATAAGAGCCAGACTCTCTTGGGCAATGTCTGGCAATTCTTGTCTGGAGCAGGGAATGGGTCCCAGACTGCTCTATCTCAATATGATGCAGAATTTAAAGGGGTATTTATTTAATTTGGCTAAATGTTAAAATTGGCCAAAGGACCTTCTTCGTGTGAAACTCTCTTATAATCGTTGTAAGGCAGAAAACGATAAGGCGAGCAATGTCTAAACACAGTACTGAGTTCATCTGCTGTGAAACTTCAAGTGGCGGCTGTAGAGTTGTGGAGGAAACGTGAACATTGGGTGGTAAATTATTGTGAAATTCATAAACTATCGGGTAATTTACAAACACTGCTGGAGATTGTTAGCACTGAACCAGGTCAGTAAAGGTCAACATAAAATAGGGAGGGAAAGGGTAACAGAAATAGAGATATATGGCGGAGGACTGCACACCCTGGCATTACAGGGCTGGAATTTGCTGTTTGTGTGCATTGGGGGGGGGTAGGGATGGAGTGGGGGGGGGTAGGGATGGAGGGGGGGGAGGGATGGAGGGGGGGGGGGTAGGGATGGAGGGGGGGGGGAGGGATGGAGGGGGGGGGAGGGATGGAGGGGGGGGGGGGAGGGATGGAGTGGGAGAGGGGGAGGGATGGAGTGAGGGGCAGTGTTTGAGTCGGGGTCAGTGCAGCTGATGTCTGTGAATTGTAGGCAGTTCCACCTGGGAATGGGAGTTATGGAGAATTAGGCTCTCAGATTAGAAATGACATCACTCCCTCAGACCCAGGGAGTGGGTGTTGGGGAATTGGAAAGTTGGTGTAATCATCGTTATGGTGGTGTGTGTATAAGTGAGTGTGTAAGTGAATGTGTGTGTGTATAAGTGAGTGTGTGAATATAAGTGAATATGTGTAAGTAAGTGTGTGTATGAGTGTGTTTATAAGTGAGTATATAAGTGAGTGTGTATGTATAAGTGTGTGTGAGTGTGTGTATAAGTGAGTGTGTGTATAAGTGAGTGTGTGTAAGTGTGTGTGAGTGTGTATATGCGTATGTGTGTGTGTGTAAAGTGAGTGTGTGAGTGTGCAAGTGAGTGTGTGTATAACTGTGTGAGTGTGTGAGTGAGTGAGTGAGTGTGTAAGGAGTGCCGCTGTATGTGTCTGACCTGTTGGGGTGTACAGAACCGCTCCCAATCGAGAAGAAAGAGCCGAAACGATGGCTCAGAGACACGCCCTAAAAACCCCATTAAAACAAGTTTGAACGGGAAAAGCAGGGAGTTGCCGCTGGCGGAGGGCTGTCAGCACAGCTCCGGAGTGCCTCATTGGAGCGCAAAAAGGGAAATAGAGCCGAGAAAGTCGGGGGTTTTACTATTTCCCGTTGACACAGACCCAGGACCATGTCGCAGCCGAGCAAAGGGAAACCGACGAAAGACCCCAAAAAGGTACAAATGGATGCGTTTTGAACGAGAGGTGCGGTCGGTCTGCGGTTGGGTCGGTTTTGGGGGGAAACGCAGGGATTTCGGGGCTTGTAAAGGAGGTGGAAATGTCCCAACAGCAGAGAGAGGGAGGAGGAGGAGGGAGGGAGGGAGGGAGAGCTGAACAGGGTCTGGGGTTTTTGCTGCACCTCATGGCTGTGTTTCCACCCACGAGTTTTCCTGCCATTAACCCGTCGCCGATTGACCTTTATCACCAAAAGCAAAAAAAAACTTTTTGACACTTTACTTCAGTTTTTTTCTCTCTCTCTCTCTCTCTCTCTCTCAACCTCTTCACCATTATCCTCGGGGAAGGCAACGTGTCGCAGAGACTATATATATATATATATATATACGCCCTCGAGCGGCTTCCAGATCTGAAAATATATATATATTTTTTTTTGTTTTTTTTAAAAAAAACTCCTCCCCGCGTCTGCCATCGAGAATGATAATTCGCGATAACTTTTTTTGTGTGTGTGTGTGTGTGTGTGGTATTTGTTTTTGGTGCTGTGGGCGGGTTGAGCTGCTCCCTCCTGGTAGCGAGAGCGAGTTGCAAGTCAAGTGCATAACGGTGACGAAAACCACAGCAGCAGTAGGTTTTGCAGCAAAGACTTCCCCCACAGCCGGAATCCTTCAGTAACAGGATTTGCTTCGGTCACGGGAGGACTGGAAGGCTTTTATTGCAGAGAATCGTCCCTCGAAATGTGATTTATTTTATGCATATATATATATATATGTGTGTGTGTAAGAGAGCGATGTGGTGGGGGGGAGAGAATAATAATCCTTGCATTTGATATAGCGCTTTTCACGTCGGGAGGACGTCCCAAAGCGCTTCACAGAACACACTGTAAAGTGAATTGACTGTATATTTGTGGGCGAACGCGGCAGCCAATTGCGCACAGCAATGTCCCACAAACAGTCATGGATTGAAAATGACCAATTATTATTGTTTTGGGTTTTGGAGGGATTATTATTAGGCCTGTGTGGAGTAAGGAAACTTGCCCAAGGTTTCGCCCTGACCTGCCTGGAATTGAACTCAGGTCTCTCGCTTGCAAAGCGAGTGCTCTAACCACTGAGCTACAGGACTACAGAATGGCCCATTGCTGGGCTTGGGAGCACACCACACGCAGAGTGGACAACTGAGGGAGAGAGTTATGCTGCAACGTTTGCAATCCCAATTTTAAGGCGAAGGAAAACGCCTTAAAAGTGCCACCGCCTCGGCTGCTGTCGGGGGGGGGGGGGGAGCAGCCGCACTGGATGTGTTTACACCACCCTGGCCGACGACCCTCACCATTGCCAGGACCCGGCATCAAGCTGCTTGTGGTTTTGCATTGAAAGTAAAATGTGTTGCAAAAAAATTTGACCCCCCCCCCCCCACCCATACACACACACACACACACACACAAATATTTATGCAAGCTCTTGTTGCCCTGCTTAGCAGAACTTTTAGAAAGGAAAGAGCCAGGTCTAACCTGACCCCCACACTGGCACCAACAGTTCTTTCATTGTGTTTAACCATAGGACAATTATATGGGTAACTGGGTGCCAGCAGACTAGACAGACCCATTGCCAAGTGCTAGTGAAGGGGAGCTCTGCAAAAATACCCCTGTCCAGTTTTCTTGAGTTAGGAATGTGAATGCCAGTTATTTATAACGTGTTTTGTTCAAGAAAAATCTTTAAAACCAGGAACTTTTTCACCCCAGCATTGTGAACATTGTAAATGTCGCCTCGTATCTATCCAGGAGCTACTGCTTGTTTTCCAGGCTTACTTCATAATGTTCCTTGCGTCTCAAAGGACATCACAGGATTTATTTTAGTGTGGTAACTGTATATTTTATAGGCAACAATGGCAACCTATTTTGTGCACAGCAATGTCCTGCAAACCACCATGAAGTAAATGCCAAATTTACTTCAATTGCCAAAGTTATCGCCTGTGTTTTACCAATGGCTCGTGGCAAAGAATTCCACCCCTCTTTTATGTTAGCAGATGGATTCTAATGTCCCCTTTAAATCTCTTTAATTGATTTAAATTTATGCTGTTTCATTATTGCTTCTCTGATGAGTAGAAATGATCTAATTCTATCCTACCTATCTAATGCTAACTCCTTTATGAAGATGTTTATCAGGTTGCTATTAACCTTATCAACTCTAGTGAAGATAGTCCAAAAGTCACAGGCCTTTTTTATAACTGAAACCCAACCCTGATAATCTAGTGAAATGTATAGGCAATTTTGTAATCTTATTTTTGCTCTGCCTGCAGTTGCACACGCAAACCTGTGACCGAAAAATAATGCTTAAACCAAGGGATGGCTTCAGTTAAGAAACCATCCACCCTTAAAGTTGCCACAGACTCTCAAACTGGTCCAAACTGACTCACTTACAGGTGGAAAATTTTCAGTTACTATCTTATGACATGCCAGTTAACATTCTCAAGCTTAACATTTTGATTTTTGATTGAATGAAAAAAAAGAGTAAGACATACCAGGAAGGCCATTGGTTTGATCATTAGACTGTATGAACTCAATCTATTTCAGTCAAGGTGGCAGTGAAGATACTATAATTGGACTCGGCATCACCAGGTTTGGGAAGGAGATATTTGAACCACGATTAACAGTCTTGATCTCTATCCAGTGAAGTCTGGTGAAGTGCGTGGGCTTTAATATCAGTTGACTGCTGGATGAAGCTTCTCTATGATGGATTACATTGTTTGAATTCCCTGAGGACACTCAGTGTGTAGTATGCATTTGAAGAATGGCTGAGTACCGGAAGACTTCCAACCGCAGTGTGAATTGCCACCTTCAAAGCTTAGGGATAAGGGGAGAATAAAATGTAATTACTCAACTGAGTGAATACAAAATGTTTTTGAAAGCACGCTTTTGTATGAGCAATTATGGATATCATTGAATTGTAGAATCGTAGAAAATATTCAATGTGTAATTCTTAATTCCAATAGCTATCCATTGGGATAGACTGGGCTCCCAATAAAATAATAATAAAATAATCCTTGCATTTGCTATAGCGCTTTTCACGTCTTCTGGATGTCTCAAAGCACTTGAGTGACATGTGTCTGTTTCAAGGGAAACTAATGTACACAATGAGCCAGCTCTCTAATGGATCCACTCTTGATGCATTTGGTTCCACTCTTGATGGTGCTACCTGAGAATTTATCGCATGTAGGGTTTGAAATTATTCTTTGAGTTGGGGAATAACTGGTTTCAGCCTGAGTAGGCAAAATTGGGAAGCATGTTGCCGCTGGCAAGAACTGGACAGATGGCTTTGTTTTTGTCAATGGTAGAAATGTAATAATAATACTTGCATTTGATACAGCCCCTTATCACGTCTTCGAGAAGTCTTAAAGTGCTTCACACAATATACTGTAAAGTTATTGACTATATACTTTGTCGGTGAAACCTGAGAACTGATATGTACAGTTAATTTGATACTTAACATCAAGACAGATCAGGAACAGATTGTAATTAAATAGATAATAATAATCCTTACATTTGATATAGCACATTTCATGTTGGGAGAATATCTCAAAGTACTTCACAGGATTTACTGTAAAGTGAAGTGACTGTGCATTATGTTCAGCAATAAACACTGACAGAATTGCTAGTGAATGAATTACTTTATGGTGAGCGCTAGTTATCTAGAATAGAACTTCCAAGTTAAAGTCCAACTCCTATGTATGAACTGAATGAGCACAAACACATTGAAATGTCTATTACTGAATATCCCTGGATAAAAAACATCATCTTCTGTTGTTTCTATAACTTCACCAGATTTCTCTTCAAAACTTTAATAAGATTAACAAATTCCACAGCTAATTGTTAAAGAAAATAAACCTACGTGTTTATGGTTCCTCATCAACCCAGTACAGGAATCAATAAATGTGGTGGAGGCACGTGATGCCATATGGTGTTACCCAATAATATTCCTCTTCCTTCTTTCTCCCCACACCCTCCATTAGGTGTGTTCACACAAGTGCCTAGAGCAGTTTACATATCCCCTGGTGACTGCAGCTGAAATTATACAGCAGGACATCATGCAAGATTCAGGATTCGATGACATGTACAGTACTGCAGTCAATTGGTTAGAGCACTCGACTGGCAAGTGAGAGGACCCGCATTCAACTCCCTAGGAGGGCGAAACTTTAGGAAAGTTTCCTTATTTCTCACGCCTCTTTACATTATATCCTGCGAAGTGCTTTGAAACGTCTCAATGACGTGATAAGGCACTATATGAACAACACCCACAACAACAAATTCCATTTGTATAGCGTCTTTCACGTCAGGAGGATGTCCCAAAGCACTGGACATTCAGGAATTCACACCCGAGTTGGTGGTTGGGATCGCCAGTGCCTTGGGATGTCCTCCCGACTTGAAAGGCACTATACAAATGTCATTTTGTATTGTATTTAATCAGGAGGGAGGGTAGGAGTAGGAGGGTGACTGAAGATGTGGTCGAACAGGATTGTCTTGAAATGCAAGGATTATTATTGTTGTTATAACCATACTGCTGGCAGCAGTGCTCGCATCAGCAATACTGTTGTAAACCAAAACCCAGTGTGTTTTCACAACCCAGTGTTGTCTTGATCAACAGCCAGTGAGACAACTGTCTCTTTTATTTGAGGTGGCTATTTGAAAAGTCCCTACGAATCTAGCAACCATGCACTGTAAATCACTTGCCTCATAAAGTTTAACTTTTTCTCTTGCCAATTGCTCAGTTAGCATCTCCTGATCTGATGTGTCCCCATAAATAAAACAGCAGTGCCTCATATATCATCTAGTTTCAGCATTGAGACTGAGGAGTCAAGTTGAAAAATGTCTCCAAATAGCTGGTTACCAAGCAGTCCCTGCATGAACAATGTGCATCAGTCTAAGTGCTTCCACCTAAAGGTCAGTGAATTAAAGCTGTTGGGGGCACTACTAACTGGAGCTAAACCAGCATCTTGCTTCAGCCTTGGGTAAGCTTTAGAAATTAAATCTGTATAGGATTGCTTTGTGAATAATTTATTTTAATTCCTAGAAACACCAGAGTAATAATAGGCTTAGTTTCAGAACTGATTTGCTTACAAATATTTGGGAATAAATCCATCTCATAAACAGTATAGTGTACTTTGCAGACTAAAAGATCAAGACAATCTAATAACCTCTCCACAGCAAGTTTGATTAAATAAAAATCAAAATTGAAAACGCTTCTATTTTGTCCTGCAAAGTTCTCCAATGTAACATAGCTGGACTATACTCGTGAATGTACAGAGTTCAGCTATTTCAATATGGGAAAGATCAAGTTGATTGGGTTTTGAGGATTGGCATCAAAACTAGTTTATAGCCATTTTGATCCAAATGTAAATGTGCAGCTGATCAGATCAGGACATACTAACTGAGGAAATGGTAAAAGTACGTAAACGTTACAGGCTAAAAAATGAGACCAGTTTATATTGCATTCTCTTCAGCTAGATATCTACAGGTATTCTGAATCCTATTGGCAGAATTTATTACCTCAATTTATTAGGCTTTGATGAAAAACTGCTGTCCATGTAATACATATGCTGCATATTCTGCTCATGCAGATCAGTGCTCAAGTTGTACTTTAAACTGTATCCTGATTCCTACCAGCTGCTCTTGACAACTGCAACTCTTTATGGGAATGAGTTAAGTTTCTCAAGTTCAATAAGATCTAAAGTTTTAGGGTCTAAATGCAAGATTTCTAAAAGGATTATTTGATAAGAAATCCAAATTTTGGAAAAGGAGAGTCTTTCCAGTAACTGGAAGTTACACAGAATGTTACAGCATTGAAATGGGCCATTTGGCCCAACTGGTCTGTGCCAGTGTTTATACAGTAAAAGGTAATTCTTTTTATAAATTATATGATCGCCTAAGTTGTACATCCACCCGAGTCTCTTTCAGTTTCCTATCAAAACTACCTAACTTTGTTTTACTACTCGTATTAATCACCTAACTCGTAACACTGCTCACCTACCCTCCACTAGTCCCACACTTATCAGTTGTATTGAACCAAGGGAAACGTGATCTTGATCCATTGACACATGTGCAGAAGAACATAAGAAGACCCCCAGCTCGGGTCCGAAACACTGATTGTCCAGCACCTTGGGACGTCCTCCCAATGTGAAAGGCCCTATACAAATATAATTTTGTTGTTGTTACTAGTCCTGAATGATATGATTTATGTGAGGTTTACTTAATGTTCCTAGTGATCTCTGATACCCTTTTATTGCCTCTCCTTTGTCACACCACCTTTGTCTCTGATTCAAAATACTGTACATTATAAAGAGCTAACTCCTCAGCTAAAGTCAGTAAGTAAACAAAGTTATTCATGTTTATCGCTGGACTTTCCCTTGAAGTGTGCTTCCAGCTATCGCACACGATATAATCACTGCAAGTTCTCCAATAGACACAATTAACTTAACCATTATAATTTACTTGAGCTTTGGATATCTCCATTTCCTTATTTTTGATAAGCTTGTCTAATATAAATAGCCAATATCAGCTATTGGTAGCAATCTAACCTCCATGTCAAAAGGTTGTGGCTTTGTTTGCAAACCAGGATTTGAACTCATAATCTTCAATAACATGCTTGTGCAGGACAGAAAGAATGCTTTATTGTCAGAGGTGTTCTTCAGACAAAATGTTAAACTTGTTGTGGTTTAGGTGAATTCCATGAAAGTTATTCATAACAGAGTATGGTATCTAGACCAATATTTCTTGCTCATCCAAATTACCTAAACTGTTAAAGTGACTACATCCTGTCATAAAGCAATGGCCCTCCTCACAGGTCTCTCCAACTCCACCATTCCTAAAATCCGAATAATTATAGATCGTCACCCGTACTAAACTCGACACCCCTATCACCCCAGTGTTCTTGTCAAGCTCCACTGCCTCCCTGTTGCAGAATAGATTTACTTCAAGATCCCACACTCAATTAGAAATTCACTTCATGCCCTGGCACCTCCCTACCTCTCCGACCTGCTTATGTCCCACTCAGCTACCCACCCCCTTCACTTAGCTGGCTCGCATCTCCTGTACGTTCCTCATCTGCTCTGCTCCATATTGGCGACTGTGCTTTCAGCCACTACACCTGGAGACTCTGGAACTCTGCCTCAATAATAATAATAATAATCCTTGCATTTGATACAGTGCCTTATAATGACTTTGAGACGTCTCAAAGCGCTTCACAGAATATACTGTAAAGTATAGTGACTGTGTGTTTCAATCCCTCCCCCTTGCTCCCCCACTCACATCTTATCTGAAGACTTCTCTTCAACCAATCCTATGGTTACCTCCCCTCTCTCCCTGGCTCAGTGTCGAGTTCCGTCACTGAGATGCTCTGAGATGCTATGCCGCATGAGGAGTGCTATATAAATGCAGGTTGTTGTAATTGGTTAAGGGTACTTAAAATGAGACCTTGTGTTATAAAAGGTTATGTTGTTGCTGTGGCATCTTGCCATTGCTTGCAGAGTTGCCGCTCATGACACTGATCACCACGGTGCCTGCCCAGTGTGACTAGTCAGCATACCACAGATTCACAGTTTCAATCGAACCTGACTGAGGTGTGCTTTAACAGGGCCCAGCTCAATTGCTGTTTTTGAAATGATGTTTGTGTAGATGTATAGGAAAATTAACACAGAAGTTACTGGGACCACGCAGCAGATTAGGCAGCATCCATGGAGAGAGGAAAATTAGTTAACGTTTGACTTTCAATTCTATGTTCTGACGAGATGACAGACCTGAAACGTTAACTCATTTTCCTCTCTCCATGGATGCTGCCTGACATGCTGCATGTTCCCAGTGTTTATACCAGATTTCCAGCATCTGCAATACTTTGACTTCTGTACATGAAAATAGTTGGTTGTGATGAAGTGTTCAGAGGCTTTGATAAGAAAACGCTATATCAAATGTAATTACAGTATATAGAAATAATTTTATAAACTATAAACAGAAATGCTGGAAATCTGCAGCAACTCAATAAGTGTCAAGAATAGAAACGGATTGTTTGAAACACTGGTTTAAAACATGTTTGGAGAGTCACAATACTCAAAGCATAAATATCCCAAATAATTTTTTCACCATTCACAATTCTCCTTTTGTTTCGACAAACAGTTAATATAAATGTTGGTTAAAAAGCCCTGGAACCGAACCAGTGACAGCAATCATTGATCGGGGCTGTTTTCCCTGAGCAAATCAGAAATCCCAGTTAGGAGAAGGGTGTGTTAGCAGGTTTATGCCTGTATGTTGCACACACCCATCACAACCTGCAAATCAAAACTTATAGAAATATATCCTTTCATTCCCAATAAGGTAAGTGGATTCACAAGTGCATAAATTGCAGCATGTCTGAAGCTGGAGTGGTGTTTTTAACCTTGTGGTTTTGTACTTTGTGACCAGAATATCTAGTGACATATGGTGGTAAACTTGATGAGGAAGACCCCTGAAATTCCAGTGCAGTACTGGGGAGTGGGTGGCTACATTGTGAGAGCCAATGTTTTTTTTAAAAGATCAGGTTTTGAAATCCTGACATTCTGCTTGTTCTTCAGATATGGTTAAAGATAAGGTGACCATATTTTGTACACCTAGTCCAAGGACACATATATAAAAAAAATGAACTCACCACAATTGCTAATGCTGGCAGTACAGGAGAAGCTTGTTGGATTAATGGCTGTATTTCTCTGATGGAGGGTATCTGTTCTAGAATTTTATTGTTCTGTGTTTGTTGCTGATCTTAAGACGGGGCAAATTTGGTCTCAAGGACATAATACCTCATCTGGGGATAGTTGCTGAAAATCAGGGACATATGGTCACCCTAGTTAAAGATCTCATGAAAATATTTGAACAAAATAATGGAATTTTGCTCAATGGTCCGACCAAATAATTTTCCAGATTAATTAATTGTTTATCTTATGACTGTTTGGGTGCAACTACCATAAAAAACAGTCACTACATGGCTTAATATTTTGAGGGATTTCAATGTGATAAGGAGGTGAAAAAATACAATAGTTGCCTGTTGCTGCTGTCCTGCACATGTGCTAGGTTTATTCAAGGATACTCTGCAAATAATTATTTTCTCTTTTTTGCTTTTTGTGGTCTTTGAAATATAATTCCAAGTGGTCTTAGAATAAGCATTTCAAATGCCAAAGGCCTCTGTGTAAAATGCCTGAAGTAATTGAATGCCCATTCTGCTTCTTTCAACAGGGAGATGCAAAGACTGGCACATCAGCAAAGCAAGGAGTTGGCACAGGTGTTGAAGCATCAGAGGTATGTATCATCAACACTTATTAAATAATTGCCTGAAAGAGTTCCCCAATGGCTTAGTGAGCAAAATAATCATTCAATGTGCTGTGTACCAGAAGGACCAGAAATTGTAGGCCCACAATCCTGGGATGAGCTTGTGCTGAGTTAGCTGATCTCAGTCAGGATCCTAGTGTATTTAATTGGCTGATCTTGGTTTGGATACTCTTATAATAATAATCCTTATAATCTTTGCATTTTGATATAGTACTTTTCACATCTTCAAGACGTCTCAAAGCGCTTCACAGAATATACTGTAAAGTGAATTGACTGTATATTTGTGGGTTTGTATACTCTTAAGCAGGGTGAAGGGTTTCCGCTTGTGTCAGACACCTGACCCTCCAAAGAAAAAAAATGTTAGTGCCTTTAGGATGATCCTGTTGCCCTCAGTGCCTCTGTGTCCATCACTGCTGCTAGAATGGGCAATGTATGAGATTGAGTGAGAGCAGGAGAGGGCTTGGTTGTAAATCCCCATAGTTGCACAGCTTGTATCAGCTCATCAATGAAGAATGACTATTTGAGTATGGGATCAGAGTATGAGTATGGGATCCCACCCCCCGGCCCTGGAGGTAGTTGGTAACTTTATATTTTAAAAAATGTTGATATGTTAAATATGCATGAAAGATATTTAATGGATTCACTTCACTATATTTGAAAGGTATTAAATATATTTGCATATATAAAAGCAGGGTTTTTCTTTATTGCTTTTCTTTCTGGTACCTCTCACAGTGAAGCCAATAAAAACACTGTATTGCTGGCCTAGATTGGTTAGGAGGTCACATGGTTCTAGCCAAGATGATACAGAAATGTGTGATGACTTTCGGATTCGTTTTCAATGTCTGTAACCTGATGGGAAGTAAATTGAACTCACAAATGAAACATTTGGCTCAAATTCAAGAAAATTGAGCTCACCTCCTTTGTTGCTTTTTCCTTTTCCTTTCCCTGGCTTCCGTAGTTGAAGCTGTTAACCATTTGATACTGATTCGGGACTAGTTACTGCAGAGTCAGCTGGAATGTGTACACAACCATTTCCGAGGGAGAGATTACAAAAGTAAGACGGATGTGCAGATGTGAGGGTCTATAACCAAGGGGTTTCTTTGTGTATGTGAACTGTTTTAAATAAAATATAACATTTCCTGTGCGGTAGAATTTGGTGCACATCCTCTATGTGCACCACATAGAGGAAAGACTTGCTGCTGTGTTGGCATGTCTCCTTTTATCAAAGGGATCTTTGCATTCACGTAACGTGGTCTAATTTGTAACAATTGCAACAAATTTACAATAAAATTCACAACCAAGAAATTGCAATTCATACAAGAAATCTTATATCTTAATATCACAAATTAAGCCCCTTTGTGGTGAAAGCATTCAGAGTGTGGACTGCAGCTCGGAGACTTGAATTTTTAAAAACAAACTATCAAATATATACTTTGGAGTCAATTTCAGTATTTTCTAGCAGGATTTTTAAAGAAATCTGCACCTTAGCATCTTCAGCACCGGAGACGTCCTCCCAACGTGAAAAGCGCTATATAAATGTAACTTTGTATTGTAGTTTAACTTATTTATACACTGCGGCTATACACTATAGATTGCTTATGGGTTTTCGTACGTGTCAGACACCGGGCTGACCAACAAGGTGTGTGTTGAAATGATGATTTCTCACAGAGGTCTTTAAATTCCTTTTCGAATTGACATGATGCATGGCTATTTCATTCAAAAGTATTATTTTATAGCTGTCAAATTTAACTGCAATTGCTAATGAGTGACCTAGTTACCTAAAAAGATAATCTTCTGAATCCTGTAACTGAACTGAAATATAGCACTCAAACTATTTCCAGTTAAATTACGTTTATTCTGATTCCTATTTTTGACCCAATTTTTCATTTAGTGGTCGGACCCTGATTCTAAATCTCTTTACTTTAGTCAATAATCTCCTGACCTGAAAAATGCTATATAAATGCAAGTTGTTGCTGTTATGGAACCTCTGATCAAATTTGTTTTGAGAATCTTTAAGTGTACAACATCCCCTTAATTTCATAAGTGTATATTGACAAAGAGTATAACTGAACAGATACATTTTTCTATCACACAGATATAATAATCCTTGCAGTTGATATCGTGCCTTATTGTTGAGATGTCTCAAAGCGCTTCTCAGAATATACTGTAAAGTGAAGTGACTGTATTTTGAGGTCAAAATGTGGCAGTCAATTGCGCACAGCTGTGTCCCACAAACAGTTGTGGATTGAGTGACCAAATTATTATTTTTTTAAAAAGTGATTATGACCAATACACTACAGGACTCTATTGAATGGACTCTCTGCACCTTGTTCATTCAGCCACTTCACACAAACTCACACTAATTGTACAATAGCAGTATCCAGTCAGGCATCCTTACAGCTTAAACTGAAAATCTAATACTATATATACATATATATACACAATATATAAACACATATATTTTTCCCACACTAAACCATGAAAGTGCAGTGCATAGGATTCTGTGAGATAAGTGCCATTTCTCTTTTGTAGGCACTGGTTATGTTTAAAATATTTTTCTTTCTTTGAGAATTTGTGCTACTCATAGTGAGGGGTGGTAGTGCAGAGAAATGAAAACTTTACCATTTCACGCACTCAGTATCAGCTTCACATGCACCCAGATCAGGTACAGCTCCTTCTACTCTGCGAAACTTCTGAAATATGACCTCTTCTGTACTAGCATGATATGTATGTATCTTCTTCCCTCGTTGCCTTTCAAATGAAATGACCAGTTTAGCCCTGTTTTTACTGGATTGAGAATTGACCCTACCCAAACTCATTTTATAAAGTAACTAAAGTGTTTAAATCTATCTGGGTTGGATTCAATCTGAGGTAGCAGAGCTATGAAGCCTATACCCATTGTATTATCCAATATTTCCAGTTTAGAAAATTACACAGTTGCGTTATGCTCCAGCTGCAGATCAATTCCCTCAGGAGAAATGAAATGCAAGGTAGATATGAAACATTCAAAAGCCATTCAGCCCATCACACCCATTTCTTTTATTGACACATATAAACAAAGCTGCAATTCTTTGAAGAGTGTGCTTGTTTATGATCAGAAGAAACCAGTTTAATTCAGAGGCTGATACTAATGGAACCTTCAACCAGCAGTAGCTGACCCCCACCCCAAACGGAAACGGGTATGTTGTCTCGTAGATTAAAACATTTGTTCCTTAACTATTTGATACTGCAATTCAGGATGTGGATGGGTGTAAAAAAAATGTAGGAACGATAGCCTTCTGATGTGTTGCTTTGAATTTGTTTTGGCCGATATCCGTGCTGTATTTAAGTATATAGCATTAGGGATACATTGGGACTGTTCTTGAGCAGATAGCATTTGATGTATATTGTTGTGGTTCAAATAATAATAATCCTTGCAGTTAGTATCTGCCATTAATCTTTGAACCTGACGTTGCTACAGGTTCTATGGAATGAAAAGTGGATGTTCTTGTTCTGCAGGCTGAATTTACATCCATTCTATTATTTAGGATCAGCTCCACCCTCTTATACTGTAACCCACCTTATGGGAACTCCCAGTAATTATTTAATTCAATAGCTTGAACAAGGGATGGATTTGTCACTTGTACCAAATGAAGACTGAGAACATCCAGGTTTTCTGGTAAGCTGTTCAATTTTAACTTAAAAATGCACTAATGTGAAGCTTTTTTTTAAGACAAAACATCACCATTAAAGCAATATTTTGTTATTAGACTATGAGGCCAAAAAGTGTGAACTCTGCTGAATTTGAGATGTTTCTAGGTTGCCAAACAGAGTTTATTCTCTATTGTATGAATGTAGCGCATCAGTTTTCTTTTAGCTGGACACAGAGCTGTTTTGAAGGTCGCACTCTCAGGGTGGCCAAAACAAGCAATAGCTTTTTGAAAGGAATGGATAGAATAACAATGTGTCTGATAAGTGGCAAAGCGTGTTGCATACGATTTAATTCACAATTGGGTTGATACCTATGATACTTTTGGGTTATGACACCTTTGCTCTCTCCCTCACCTCGTTCAGGGTCCATCTCAAGACCAACCTCTTTGACCATTCTTTCGATCATCTTTCCCTTGCCACCCCTCTCGATTCCCACCCCCAGCTCAGGTGCCAAACCAGGATTAAGTGCTTTGGCACATCCTCCTGATATGAATGATATTAAAAAGATATAAATGTAAATTTGTATTTATTGTGAGCAAGCAAGATACGCTTTTAAAACTATGTTTATCTAATGGACATTTCACTTCCTATCAAGAGAAAGTCTAATACCATGGACATATTTTTAAATGGAAACCACTAATGTGATTGTGGTGATTAATTTCTACCAAATATGAAAAAATTGTTGTTGATGAAATGTTTACAGTAATGAAGATATTAAATCAGGTCACTTCTTGGTGTCTGGGTTTCTCATTTGACTTTTGTTTCTTTGAATAAACTAGGAACTGAGTGAATAGGATCTGTACTGACATAGGAGAACGGGTGGAGACCATTCAATTCATTGAATCTGTTCCACCAGTTTTGGCCAATTTTTTTATCCCACCCTTTCATTGTATACCTTAAAACTCTACTACCCAAATATCTGTCTATCTTTCCTTTAAACATCTGTTGACTGCAAGTGAGCCAATCTTATATTGTACATACGTTAAATAAAATTTTTGCTATTTCAATGAAGCAAAATTGTGAATTTTCAGATTTTGAATACCAAACTCACAGAGACAGATATTTTTAAACAAATATTTTATATAGTAATGATGCATATTACAGAAAGGTGAAATTACCAATCTGGGAAACAGTTTGTTTCAAAACAAAACAATAATAAATTTGTCATTTTCAATCCACGACTGTTTGTGGGACACTGTTGTGCACAATTGGCTGCCGCATTTCGCGTACAAAATTTACAGTCAATTCACTCCACAGTATATTCTGTGGAGCGCTTTGAG